TGCCTCTTGCCTCCAACCAGGTGAAACTTCTATCCTCGTTATAAGCCCGTGCGTCACCTCGTGCTGTCAGCGCATCACCTTGCGCATCATCACCGTACCCTCTCTTCGTATCTTCTCACCACACCCTCTGCTTCCCATCAGGTGCATTACAACATCCTCTACCGTGTGCCTGAGAGCAACGGCGTGAAGCAGGCGTGTGAGGACCTGGGCGTCACAGGTCTTGCACATGCCAGTGTATCATCAATGTACCCTCTCACCACACCCTCTCGCCACACCCTCTCGCCACACCCTCTCACCACACCCTCTCACCACACCCTCTGGCCCCCCCATCAGGTGCATTACAACATCCTCTACCGCGTGCCTGAGAGCAACGGCGTGAAGCAGGCGTGTGAGGACCTGGGCGTCACAGGTCTTGCACATGCCAGTGTATCATCAATGTACCCTCTCACCACACCCTCTCGCCACACCCTCTCGCCACACCCTCTCACCACACCCTCTCACCACACCCTCTGGCCCCCCCATCAGGTGCATTACAACATCCTCTACCGCGTGCCTGAGAGCAACGGCGTGAAGCAGGCGTGTGAGGACCTGGGCGTCACAGGTCTTGCACATGCCAGTGCATCATCAATGTACCCTCTCACCACACCCTCTCGCCACACCCTCTCGCCACACCCTCTCACCACACCCTCTCACCACACCCTCTGGCCCCCCCATCAGGTGCATTACAACATCCTCTACCGCGTGCCTGAGAGCAACGGCGTGAAGCAGGCGCGTGAGGACCTGGGCGTCACAGGTCTTGCACATGCCAGTGCATCATCAATGTACCCTCTCACCACACCCTCTCGCCACACCCTCTCACCACACCCTCTCACCACACCCTCTGGCCCCCCCATCAGGTGCATTACAACATCCTCTACCGCGTGCCTGAGAGCAACGGCGTGAAGCAGGCGTGTGAGGACCTGGGCGTCACAGGTCTTGCACATGCCAGTGCATCATCAATGTACCCTCTCACCACACCCTCTCACCACACCCTCTCGCCGCACCCTCTCGCCACACCCTCTCACCACACCCTCTCACCACACCCTCTGGCCCCCCCATCAGGTGCATTACAACATCCTCTACCGCGTGCCTGAGAGCAACGGCGTGAAGCAGGCATGTGACGACCTGGGAGTCACGATAATTGCATACAGCCCTCTCTCCCAAGGTGTGTGTGTTTATTTGTCTGCTTGTCTATCTGTTAAAGAGCGCGTGTTGCTAGTGAGGGATAAGCAGGAGTGTGAGGACCTGGGCGTCGCACTCATCGCATACAGCCCACTCTCCCAAGGTAAGCCTGTCCTGGAACCCATTCAAACGGGGACTCACAACATGCGAGTACGAGTGAACCGTTTCAGCCTGTGCTTACCCTGTCTTTTCCGTTTCAGCCTGTGCTTACCCTGTCTTTTCCGTTTCAGCCTGTGCTTACCCTGTCTTTTCCGTTTCAGCCTGTGCTTACCCTGTCTTTTCCGTTTCAGCCTGTGCTTACCCTGTCTTTTCCGTTTCAGCCTGTGCTTACCCTGTCTTTTCCGTTTCAGCCTGTGCTTACCCTGTCTTTTCCGTTCTCTGTCCTCACTGCATGTGTGTGCTCTTAATCGACCTCTCACCCAGTTTTCAAGAAACCTACATGTCCTACTGATTCGCTTTCCATGATACTCACGCAAGTAATCGCCCCCATTGCATTGTACCCTGCCATTCCCGACCAATCACCTCTCGCCAGGTGTCCTCAGTGGCAAGTACTCTCCCCAGAAGCCCCCGACGGGTCCACGTGCCAACTCCTACTCGCCAGACTTCATTCGCAAGGTACTGACACTTAGTTAAAATACTCTTGAGAATTCTCAAACGTGCCAACTCATGAAGCCAAAGCCTTTCCCATTGTGATTGGACCACTCCTGCCCAGCCTCTCTCTGCACCATAGGCTTCTGAGGCGCCTCAGAAGCCATCCCGCCCAGTCTCGCCCTGTACCTTGCCTTTTTCCACATGACTTTATGAAACCTACTGCCTTATTACCCTGACGGACTCAATCCGCCCCTTCTGCCCCTCTCTGCCCCTCTCTGCCCCTCTCTGCCCCTCTCTGCCCCTCTCTACCCCTCTCTACCCTTTGGACTGCACCATGCAGGCCCAGCCTCTGCTACAGCGCATGGCACAGCTAGGGGAGAAGTACGGCGGCCGTCCTGCACCTTGCTCTCTCCACATGACTTCGTGAAAACTGCTTGCCTTTTGACCCTGTTGACCCCTCTCCCGCCCTTCTTCCCCTCTCTACCCCTCCCAACCGCTGTGAATGTTCCATGCAGGCCCAGCCTCTGCTACAGCGCATGGCAGAACTAGGAGAGAAGTATGGCGGGCGAAGCAAGACGCAGGTGAGAGAGGGAGGGAATACTCAAGAAGCCACATTCGATAAATTTCACATGTCAAAAAGGGGGGAGGAAGAGGTGTGAGGAGAGGGGGGCAAGAGTGCGCAAAACTCAGGTGAGAGGGAAGGAGCAACGAGGGAGCAGAGCACTGCCTGAGGCTTCAGGTCATCAGGATTGACGTCTGAGATTTCTCGGAAACTCAAGGAACAGTGGCTGGTGCTACGGTGGGTACTCTGTTGAGTAGACTGCCCTTGAGTCTTCCCTGGGCTTTTCAGTCGTCCCTGGGCTTTTCAGTCTTCCCTGGGCTTTTTAGTCTTCCCTGGGCTTTTCAGACTCCCCTGGGCTTTTCAGTCGTCCCTAGGCTTTTCAGACTCCCCTGGGCTTTTCAGTCGTCCCTAGGCTTTTCAGTCTTCCCTGGGCTCTTCAGTGCTACTGTTGCGCCCATGTAAACCAATTTTTTTGGTCTGAAGAGCCGAAATTTTTCAAAGCCACACCAACGTCAAAGATCATATTTCCTACGAGGTGACTGTTGACAGGCTGATAATTCAAGCCAGCACTAATTTTCTGAATTTTCTTCTGTACTCCCCCGATGATTTTCCTGCACTGCCATCCGTTTTAGGTGGCTCTTAACTGGCTGGTAGTGCAAGGGAACATCGTTCCTATCCCAGGAGCCAAGAACAGAGCACAGGTAAGCCAAGCCTTGCTATTGCTGCCTTTCTTCCACGTACTACTTCTCTGCATGAGGCATCCACTATTCGCTTGATTGGAACGTGTTTTCCAGCCATGTGCAGCTAATTCCTGTTTGCGTGGTTGACGTGGTTGATTATGTGGTTAGTATGGTCTTGTGCAGTGGTGTGTGCGGTGCACATGGGTGCGTGTGGCTTTGTGTAACCGGTGCTACCTGTGTGCTTGTGTGTGCTTGCACAGGCTGCGGAGTTTGCAGGGGCTTTGGGGTGGTCGCTAACCGCCGAGGAGGTGCAAGAATTGAGGGAGCTGGCCTCACGCGTACCACAAGCACAGGGTTTTCCTGCTGAAGCCTTTTAGGCTTAAATGACTCAACTTAAAATTAAGGGTCTAAGTTATATATGTATGTTGCATGATTACTGGTCCATCAACCCTCCCCATGTAGTTTGTTCAGGACTTAGTTAAATATGCAGCTTTGTGTTTACTCCGCCATTTGTTTCCACTTAATTATCCACCTACATTCTCGGAGGAGAGAGGAATTTTGTTTTGGCGCGGATGCTTCTGTGGGAAGCTGAAAGGGCGAGTCTTCGCGTCGTCACGTGGCGAGCGCACACCAGAAAAGGCAGCACAAGTGTGGCACGTGGCACACTCCTTCCATTCCGCTCCGCTCCCCTACTTTTCTCCCCGCCAGCCTCTCTGCTGCAGCAAGGAAACCCTAATCGCCTCGCTGCGCCATTTCCCTGTCCTCCTCTCCTCGAGCCCACGATTCCACGAATTTCACCAGTTGTCGGTGGGCGGCAAGGCGAGATGTCCGCTTTTCCGCCACTCGCTCCTGCTCCCCTTGCCGCGCTGGCTGTCGCTTGCCAACCAACTCCTGCTTTCCGCGCAAGCGGCGATTCTGCCAAACGAATCTCAATGCGCCTCATAAGATACAATGCACTGTTGCTTTCCGCGCAAGCATTTCCGCAAGGGAACCATGTGACTGTTACTGTCCCCACTCTTCTTCCGACCGCGCTCCGCCGCGCACGGAACCACCTGCGCAAGCCGCGCGGGAGGTCGCTACTACACTCGGCCCGCGGCCGACGCAAGGACGTACGGACGGAGGAGGGAGCTTTTGAGTCGACTCAAAAGCCGACGCAAGGACGTACGGACGGAGGAGGGAGGGTCTACTCGTGCGAAGCGAAGGAGGGAGGCACTATGCGAAGGAGGGAGGCACTATGCGAAGGAGGGAGGCACTATGCGAAGGAGGGAGGCACTATGCGAAGGAGGAAAGCACTATGCGAAGGAGGAAAGCACTATTCGTGCCGTAGGACTATTCGTACGAACGTAAAAGCCTGATCAAGCTCGCTGTTCCTCCTGTCCATACGAACACCTTATAGTGGTAGTCACTAAACCACTATTAGTGGTACTAAACTACACTAGAACTACTCGCAGCAGTACCTTTACGAACCAATCATGGCACCCGCCGTGCCTATCATGCCGCCCATCACCGTGCCGCGGACAACACCCGCCCTCGCCGCGCCCTCTCTGAACCATCACCACCACCATCGCCACCACCATCGCCACCACCCCCACCGCCGCCACCACCCATCCAACGCCGTCCCCTCGCTGCTGCTACTGTTCCTCATCGCCGTCCCCTTCGTGCCGGCCGCAGCCACCGTCTATGTGCCATTCAATGCTTCCATTCGTGAGCCTCCTTTCCCATTCCTCCCTTCCCCTTCCTCCTTTGATTTCCTCGTCCTCCTCCTCCTCTTTCCTCCTTCTCCTGCTTCCCTTCCCCCCTTCCTTTCCTTCCCCTCCCCCTCTCCTTCCCCGTCCCCTCCCTCAGTCGTTTTCCTCCTTCCTTTCTTTCTCAGCCTTAACCTCCGATCAAAGAGAGGAAGGATGGGATGAAGGATGGGAGGCAAGGTGGCACGTTGAGCGAAATCAATGCGATTCTCGCCTCCTCTCACCTCCTTTGATGTCTCGCCTCCTCTCACCTCCTTTGATGTCTCGCCTCCTCTCACCTCCTCTCATGTCTCGCCTCCTCTCACACCTCCTCTCATGTCTCGCCTCTCCCTATCACTCTTCCTACACCCAGTCCCCGCTATAAGGGACCTCAAGGCAGCTCTTACGATGCCACCTTCATTCCCCTACCTCCTCCCCCCCTCCTCCCCCCCGTCCCTCCCCTTCCCCCTCCACCCACTTCCAGTCCCCGCTATAAACGACCTCAAGACAGCGCTGAGGGTGCCGGGCTCCTTTGGCTGGCGGAAGGGCGCCTCTTGCTCTGACGACGGATTAGGGCGGTTCTACCGAGGATTGAAGTGCGATGAGAACGGGAACCTGATAGCCATGTGAGTTGCTGCGAGGGGCAGTGTAGGGCGGTTCTGGTTATGGGTTCATAAGAGGGCCGGTTCGCTGTTAGCCAGCTAGCTAGGCAAGGGCGCTTCTTGCTCCGATGATGGATTAGGGCGGTTCAATCGAGGATTTAAGTGCGATGAGAACGGGAACCTGATAGCCATGTGAGTTGCTGAGAATCTTCCTTCCCCCTCACCTTCCTTCACTCCCTCCCTCTCCTCTTTCTTCACTCATTCTCTCCCTCCTCCCCGCCTCCTCTTCCTTCCCCCTCCACTTATTTTCTCTCCCCCTTCGCCTCTCCCCATCCCACAAAACGACAGAGACATCCACTGGGGTCTGCTGGACTCGCGGATCTCCACTCTGCCGCCCTCAATCTCCGCCCTCACCTCTCTCACCGAAATGTCAGTATGAATGGAGTGACTTTTGAGTCGACTCAAAAGAATGGAGTGACTTTTGAGTCGACTCAAAAGAATGGAGTGAGAGATTCGCTCTCCCTCACCCTCGATACCGTCCTCCTCCTTCTGTCTTACCCTCTCATCACCACCACCCCCTCATTCTGTCTCTGTCATACTTATACTTTCCCCACCTCTCTCCCCCCCACCACCGTCAGCACCCTCTCATCAGCCTACATCTTCTCTCGCCCGGACCCCATAATCTCAGTCTTTCTCGTACCGTTACTTCCCCCCGTCTCCCCCCCACCACCACCACCAGCACCCTCTCTTCAGCCTACATCTTCTCTCGCCTGGACGTCTTTGCCAAGCCATTCGCCTGCCTGCCCAACTTGCAGTCACTGTGAGTGCAAGCCTGGGGTGCTGACGTCTCCTCTTAACTCCTCCCATATCCTCTCAACTCCTCCCATGTCCTCTCAACTCCTCCCATGTCCTCTCAACTCCTCCCATGTCCTCTCAACTCCTCCTATGGCCTCTCAAGTCCTCCCATCGCCTCTCAACTCCTCCCATCTCCTCTCAACTCCTCCCATGTCCTCTCAACTCCTCCCATGTCCTCAACCCACCCCTCACAACATCAACACCTCCTTTCGCTTCCATTTCCTCACTTCCCAATTCTACTCTATCTCATTCCCCACCTCTCTTTCATTTCACCCGCCTCCATCTCTCTTCTCTCTGTAGCCTCATTCTGAACTCGTATTTGAAGCCCTAATTCCTCCTCTCTTCTTCCTTCCCTCCGCATGACTCTCTCCCCCAGTCCCGTCTCCTCTCTCCCTTTCCCAGTGACCTGTCTCGGAACCCTATACCGCCCCATCCCACCCTACCTTGTTTGGAAACTCATTCTTTCCTCTCCTTTCCTTCCCTTTCTTCCCTTTCTTCCCTTTCTTCCCGTCCCCTCTCCCCCCTCCAGTGACCTGTCTTGGAATTCTCTATACGGCCCCATCCCCCCCTACCTCATCAACCACGCCTCTCTCACCAAGCTATGGCTCTTTGACAGCAAGCTCACCGGCCCCATCCCGCCCTTCCCCTTTGCTGCTTTCTTCTTTCTCCCCTTCCCCGCCTCTCCCATCCCCCGCCTCTACCCTCCCCCGCCTCTCCCCTCCCCCGTCTCCCCTCCCAGTGACCTCTCTTGGAACTCCCTATACGGCCCCATCCCCCCCTACCACGCCACCTTCACCAAGCTATGGCAACAAGCTCACCGGCCCCATCCCCCCCTTCCCTATCTTATGTTTCCTCTTTCTTCCCTTCCCCCCCACTCCCTTCCCCCCTCTCTCCCTCCTCCCAGTGACCTCTCTTGGAACTCGCTATACGGCCCCATCCCCTCCCACCTCATCAACCACGCCACCCTCACCAAGCTATGGCTCTTTGACAACAAGCTCACAGGCCCCATTCCGCCTTACAGCCCGCGCCTCTCCTCTCTCCTGCTCTTCAAAAACTTCCTCACAGGGGTCTTTCCCCTTCCGGCCTCCCCAGAACCAGACACCCCGGCCCCTGCCTCGTCTCCTGCCCCATCGCCTGCCCCCTCCCCTGCTCCCGCTGCTGCTCCCTCCTCCCTCCCAGCCCCCTCCCCCTCCGCCCCACCCCCCTCCTCCTCAGCCTCCCCGCCTCCGCCTCCACCCCCCTCCCCCCCTCCGCCTCCTCCCCCTTCCCCTCCTCCCCCGCCCTCTCCTCCCCCTCCCGTCCCCTCCCAATGCGATGTCAGCGGCAACTGCCTCTCCTACACCAGAAAATACACAGGCGCGTGCAAGGGCCTTCCCAGAAGCTTCATGGTGCAGCGGAACCCTATGTTCTGCGGAGCAGCAATGTGCGGTGGGAACTTAACTAAGTGTGAGGCGGAGGGGAAGGCGTGCATGCCGGTGTATAGCCGGTGGCCGCCGACGAGTGTTCAGCCGTTGGATCTGGCGCCGAATCGAGGGTGGATATGCGGCGGGTGCGAGTGGGGGCTCACTGCTGTGAAAGGCACGACCAGTTGTTGTGAGTGCCGAGCTTCGAAACGTCCTGGGTGTCATCTAGCGTGTCATCCAGTGTGTCATCTTGGGTGTCACAATCTAGGGTTGCACCTGTGGTGTCTTATAGGGTGTCAATGGTTGCAGGAGGCTATGCTCCCTCACATGCTCTCCATTCCGTTTCTTGGTGCTTGCTTGCTTGTCCCTTCTTTTTCTGATACTCTCTCATCCTCTCTACACCTGGTCCCTTTTCTACAAAAGGCAGCTTGTTACGGTACAACAAAATTCAGACCCCTGATTCCCCTGCACCCCCACCCCTGTGTCTACCTAGTGACTTGCAATCGGACAACAGGGGCAGCTTGTTACAACTCTGTAACGCAGCTTGTGTGCTTGGGCTACCCTACAGTAGTGGCACAGCCTTAAAATGAATCCATTAGAGCGCGTTCCTACCTACCGCCGCTTACCAGGCAAGCTCTTGTCAGACTCGCGTCTCACCGCTCTGGAACACACAGAATCATATTCAGTCGCACTGAAAAGCATTGAACCGCACAAGTCTGACAAGGCGTGTCTGACAAGAGGCGTGGGAACTCACCCTTATTCAGTTACGTGAGATAACCATAGCGGGTTTTGTGATCCTTGTACCGAATGGCAGTCCTTTCTAATGTGTTTATTCTTGTTGACGTTGGAAGCCCAGCGTCCAGTGTCCCAGCAAAGGCTGTGGAAAACAGCGTGAAGTACTGTACGTGATTGTGCTGTGCAAAGGCTGTGCCTCTAACCGAGTCAGAATCACTAATGAAACAGGTCTCAATTGTTGGGCTGAGGTGCCCTAGGATCTTTGTAGAGTTAAAGTCTTAGTAAGATGATGTAATAGCGGAAGCGTTGAGTAAGGAGTGCTTGAACCACCTTGCGCTAGTACCGTTTGGCCCCGGATATAAGCGCATATGCGCTTATAATAAGTAATGATTTTTTAGGGGTGGCGCTTGTAATTGAGGAACGGCCATAAGCGCCGGCGCTTATAAAATGTCAAATTCCAATTTTGGTTTTCGAAGTATTAAATTGAAGCCCACAATAAGGCGAACACAACTGTGAACGTTGCGCATGGGATCGTGCATGAAATTCCGGCGAAAACAGCCGCGACTCGATTTCCCACCGCACAGAACCTGTCCTGGAGCAACGCACCTGCCAGCGATGACGTGCATCCTGGCGTGCGGCCCAATAGGGTTTACATGCGCTGCCCGGGTGCCACATTTCACCCGAACTTTCGAGAAGGGGGTGGCATATTCCTGCCAGCGCAGCAGATACGTGCCGCGATTCCATCCTCTGCGGGTTTAGGCAGGGGGGGATCTGACTATGCCTGAAGAGGAACTCGAGCCGCACACCAGAAGGGGTCCCCTCCAAACCCTCATTTCTTCGCCTTCTCTTTCACTTTTGTCATTCAGATTCTTGGTCTCGCCCGCCATGCTGCGGAAGCCATGGCGGAATTCGCTGGCACTCATTTCTTGTTCAAAAAGAAGCCCGCGCGTAGGCCCGCCTTCGTAGTCGACGCCGACGGACGGTACTCCCGTGTCCCACCTGAACCACCAGAGCCACCACAGCCTCCATCGCCTCCTGCGCCGCCTGCTCCTCCTGCTCCTCCTTTGCCGCCTGCGCCTCCTGCTCCTCCTGTTCCTCCGTCTCCTCCGATTCTGGGATGTCCTCACAACACAGGGGATCCGCCCGTGCTCACGCTGCTCCCGACTGCGTTCGACCGTGGATCAGACGGGTGTACGGTCGGTGCCCATCCGAAGTGCAGGTTACCAGAAGGAGCGTGTGACCGTGATGCTGGCGTGCACGGCGGACGGGGCGAAGCTCAAGCCGTGGGTCTTTTTCAAGCGGAAGACGCTGCCGAAGGGCAACTTTCCTCCTGGTAATAAGTAGCAACTGCCGTTGTCTTACCGACACGTTTCTCATGCCGCGCTAACAGTTTAAGTGTCATTTCTGTGTGCAGATGTGGTCGTGGCTTGCCACGAGAACGGGTGGATGAACGCAGAAGGCGTCATCCGCTGGCTTGACGAGTGTGTCAAGCCCTTCTTGCAGCCCCGATTTGGCAGGTGTGCGAAGAGCTCTATGCTCGTGCTGGATTCCTACCGCGGCCACCTTACCGAGGGGGTGAAGGAGAAGCTCCGCGAGATCAACTGCGTGCCTGCTGTCATCCCGTCGGGTTGTACGGGTGAGGTTCAGCCACTCGACGTCTCCATCAACAAGAGCTTCAAAGCATCTGTTCGTCAGCAGTACCAGAAGTGGCTTCAGGAGGAGGGCCAAGAGCAACTAACACCTGCAGGTACGTTGTTTCTGTTAAACACGCACGTTTATCCCCCTTTCACCCTTGGTCACTAACATCGCTTTCCCGAGTGTCTCTGTTGCGGTGCAGGGAATCTGAAAAAGCCCCCCCCAGAAGTGGTCCTTCGATGGATTTCACAAGCCTGGAAAGCAGTACCCTCCGACCTCGTCAAGCGCGCCTTCCTCACCTGCGGCATTAGCAACGCACTTGACGGCAGTGAGGACCACCTCGCCATGGCGCACAGACGGAGCCAACTGACAGCGGAAGTGGATGTAGACGACGGCATCATCGCCGACGGATTTTTCGGCAACAACTGCCAGGAGCCCGAGTCTGACGAGGAGTAGGTAGTTCCGGTAGAATAGCAGATTAAGTCTTAAATTGTGTACCTAGGTAGAATACCGTAGCAGATTAAGTCTAAAATTGTGTATAACTTGTAGTATTCGTTGAAGCGAACGATGTTATAGTTTGTTTTCTTTTATTGTGGTGGTAAAAAAAGTGTTAATATTGAAGGTGGCGCTTATAATAAGGAAGGGTACAAAAGGGGTGGCGCTTATAATCGAGGATCGGCCATAAGCGCCATGCTCCAGATAGAAGCGCCGGCGCCTGTAATAGGCCGGCGCCTATATCCGGGGCCATACGGTATGTGAGGGCAAAGTAAGTTAATTAAAACAAGCAAATACAAAGGTTTATATAAGAGTACAAGGAATACGAATGGATATAATTAAACTGTTTTGCTGTTGCGATTCGATACAGTGCGACTCGGACAACTGCTCAATGTCGAGTCAGTTGTGTGTCCTTGCTGTCGCGCTGTATTTGTCAAGTCAAAGGTCGCTGACCTTTGACCTTCTCGTAACCTTCGGCGGTTACCCAAACCTCCAAGGGTTGACTCGTTACGCTTCGATTTTGAGCTGCTTCGCTTGTGTCCTGAGTTTCGACACGACAGAGGCGTTTAAGACTTATTGTTCCCAACACTCCCCTTCGCTTCTGGAGTGTCGCTGATGGTGACGTGGCTTTGTCCAGTCAGCAACATGCAGTACTCGAACTTCTGTTTTCCGAGCTTCTTGGTCAAGTAGTCGGCTGCCATCTCGGACGTGGGACAGTAGGATAATTCGAGTTTCCCTTTCTCGATCTCGTCTTTCACGAAGAAGTATCGCAGAGCGATGTGCTTCGTTCTGTTCGCGAATCCGCTTTTGTTGGCGATGCGAATCGCAGATTGGTTGTCGCAGAACAGGGTGAAGTTGGGTAACTCGGCTAACTTTGCTTCTTCCAGCAGCTCGCGAAGGTAGAGTCCTTCCTTGGTGGCTGAACAGAGGGCGATATATTCTGCTTCAGTTGAAGAGAGAGCGATTAGTTCATGCTTGCTCGACTGCCAGGAGATAGGTCCGATAGGCTCGAGACGATAGATGTAGCCAGTGCGGGAGCGTCTGTTATCTGAATCGCCGGCATGATCGGCATCGACGTAGCCGATTAGTTTCGTTGGCGTAGTTTCACTCTTGTAGTAAGTCAGGCCGATGGTCGGTGTGCTCACGAAGTAGTGTAGTGCGCGGTCGAGCTCCGCCAGGTGCTCTGCTTCGGGTTTCTTGAGGTAGGTAGCGAGTTGGCTTGCGGAGTAGGATAGATCCGGACGGCAGGTGACGGCTGCGAAGAGGAGGCAGCCCAGCTTCCTCTGGTAGTCGCGTATTCCGGCAGCTTTGAGTGGAGCGGAATTTCCTTTGTCATTTCCTGCCGTGTAGCGGTATGGCGTGGCGATGGCGGTAGGTGTGAGTGAGAAGCGCTTGGCGATAGTGTCGGCATATTTCTCGACGCTGAGGTAGATAGCATTCTCTTCTTCGCAGATGTTGAGTCCAAGATATTGAGTGACGGTAGAAGAAACCGTGAGCGTGAGGTCCTTCTACAGCTCCCCTTCGAACTAGGTGGTGACGTCGTCGGTGGAGCCGATGTAGAGCAGGTCGTCGACGTAGACGATCAGTAGGATGTAATCGGCGTCTTTGGTGAGTCGGTACATCCCTTGGTCGTGAGGTAGTTGGCGGAATCCGATGCGAGTGAGGCGGGTGTGTAGGTGCTGTTGCCACAGCCGCGGGGCTTGTTTGATTCCGTAGAGTGATTTCAGTAGCTGGCAAACTTGATTGGGTTTTTCGTGGGTACCGTGGGGGAGTTCGACGAAGATTTCGGCGTCGACGGGTGCGTAGAGGAATGCATTGGCGACATCAATTTGTTGGAGCTTCTTCTTCTTCATGGCGGCAACGGCGAGAAGGATTCGGAGAGAGGTATGTCGACTAACTGGGGCGAATGTCTCGGTGAAGTCTCGTCCTTGCTCCTTGTCGAATCCACGTACGACCCAGCGTGCTTTGAATTTCTCGATTGTGCCGTCTGCTTTCGTTTTGATGCGAAAGACCCATTTTCCTGTGAGAATGGTCTTGTTCCTTGCCACGCTTGCGGGAACGACTTTCCAGGTGTTGCGTTCCTCCAATGCTTTTAATTCTCTGTCCATGGCTTCACGCCATTTCTCCCTGTGTTCCCCCCCCAGAGCCTGCTGAACCGTCGCAGGCTCCTTAGGAAGTGCGTTGCTGTGGACTGCGGTGACGAGGCCGAGGATTTGCAGTCCAGTCTGTGAGTATCGGGGGAGTGTTGGATCCTCGGGATAAGCTGCTTCATCTCCCGCTTCTGGGTCGGGTATGAAATTCGGCCCTATCCGTTCTACTTCGTTTGTGTTGACTGTCGCAGGTGTTACGTAACCGTTGTCTGCGAAGTGATAGAAGACTTCAGCGTTGACACTGTCGCGGGGATTTTCTTCGTCCATGGGCAGAACGGGAGAGGTCCGGCTTCTTCCGATGCGTTGTCGACGTTCTGTTCATCCCATTCTGCTTCGTCCGCTGCTGAGGCGAAGTCTCGGTCACCACGAAAGCCACCTGTGGGGTCCTGATTCTCGTGCAACTTCGCGAGGTACGTCTGAAGGGTGAGTCGCTCGTAGAAGATCACATCACGTGCTGCTACTGTTTCCTTCGAGTGGACGTCGAAGATTTTCTACGCGTTGTAGTTCTTTTCGATGCCGAGGTGTAGTCCCCACTGTGCCCGTTGTGAAAATCTTCCCGCTCGTGCTTCTGAGGGTCGGTACTGTACCATGCAGCCGAAAACTCGTAACATTTTTGTGCTGCCTTGCTTCCCTGTCCACAGCAGATCCGGTGATGCGTTGTTCGGGAGTGAGGACGACGACAGCAAGTTATGCAGCATGACAGCATGGTCCATTGCTGCAGGCCACTGGTGGTTGGGTAGCCGCATGCCACGTAGCAGTTTGCGCATGCTGTTCTGCAGAGTCCTGTTCATTCTTTCTGCGACACCTTGCTGCTGATGGGCGTAGGGAAGGGAGAGGAGTTGCTTGATTCCCCTTTCCGCCAGGTACTGCTTGAAGCGCTGAGAGGTGTATTCGCCACCTCCGTCTGACTGGAAGCTTTTCAGCTGTGTTCCTGATTCTCTCTCTGCTACCGGTAGCCAAGCGGCGAACGCAGCGAGAGCCATGTCGCGGCTGGGTAGGTTTCGATGCCAGACGTATCGAGTGGCGGCGTCGATGAAGGTTATCGTGTAATTGTAGGTAGCTTGTCCTGGTTCTCGATTGAAGAGGATGTCGCTGTACACTTTCTCAAGTGGTGTGTATGCAGGTGCGCTCGGGTTGTGGTGCGAAGCAAACGGTCGATGCGGTAAGTCGGCTTCGGGGCAGATGAGGCAAGTTCCTCGTGCCCGTTGAAGTTCTCTGCCGTCGGGTAGTAGTAGCGAATCCTTGTCTAGGACTCCTGCTCGTATTGTATTATTTAATACTGTTTTGCTCGGATGTCCTGTGCGTGCATGCCAGATGTCTTCAGGAGCGCGGTGTCCGGGTGAGCGATGATACGCGTCGGAGTTGGAGTAGAAGCTGGCGACGAAATTGGCGCTTCTGTGGACTTCTCGTTGAGTCGGGTTCAGCTGTTGTGCGAGTGTTGGTGGTGCTTCGTCGACGAAGACTGGTGTCGTTGGTCCTGCTGCTGCCAATGATGTTTCTGCTGCTGTCGATGTTGTCTCTGCTGCTGCCGATGTTGTCTCTGCTGCTGCCGATTTTGACTCTGCTGCTGTCGTTTGTTGAATCGTTGCTAACGCTCATGTTCGTTCTGCTTCAGGGATGGTGTGCGAGTACCAGAAGCCTCCCGGGCTGAAGTCGGGATCGAGATCCGGGGGATGTGTCCAATTGGCGAAGTTGACGATGGCGTCGCTGTCTGCAGTGCCCAGGTCTGAGACGAAATCAAGAACGAAGACGTTGTTCTTCAAAACCGCCTTTCCGATGTAAAGGCCGCCCTTCCCGTGGTATAACTTAAACTCCTGGGTGGTGCTGTCGGCTTCCAAGTGGATGCCTTTCGCCATCAATTGGCTAACACTCAGTAAGTTGTAGCCAAGTCCCTCCGCGATGAGTACCTTTCACATATGCAGCGTGACGTTTGTTTCTCGTGACTGAAGTTGTACCACTCCTTGTCGTCGTGTGCGCAGGTTCTGGTTGTTGGCGACCGTGATGACTACTTCTCGTTGGAGTCGATGTTCGCGTTGTACGAAGCGTCCTGAGGAGCACATATGTTGTCCGCAGCAACTGTCCAAGAACCAAGTATCTTGTCCGGACGGTTCGCTTTGAGCGATGGCGGCGTACGTCGGGTTCGGCTGGAGTGACTCGCGGCGAGGCGTGCTGTTGTCGAGTTTTTCTTCCGGTGAGTAGTGAGGTGGTGACTCGGTTGTGCAGAAGTCTGTTATCTTCACCATGCAATTGACGATGTTTCTTGCTCCTTGTGTAGATTGTCCAGTTGAAGTCGTTGAAGCTTGGATTGAAGTTGTCGGATTTGCTTGCGTCGAGGCGACTTGGGAGCTTGAAGGCCGAAGTTGTCGCTATGGTGTCGTCGACTGCTGACGAGACGGGCAGTGCGTACGAGGATGACCCGAGGTCTTGCAGATGTGGCAGAAAGGAGGTACTGTCTTCACTTGTTGTTGTTGTCGATTGTTGTTGCCGTTGTATCGTCGCTGAGTGTGAAACGCAAACTCCGGTGCTAATGTTTTCTTCTTGTGTCTTTCTTCTTGCAGGTCCATGTCCTGCTGCTCGACGTGGATTTCGGCGCAGAGTGCCGCTTCGGAGATTCTCCCGTGTGCTCGTAGTATGGCGCGAGTGGAGCGCCAGTGGGGGCCGAGACCGCCGATGACCACCGTGACAAAGGCGTCTTCCGAAATCGACCCTCCGCATCGAAGAAGCTTGTCACGCAGTTCGCGACAGCGGCTGATATAAGCCATGCCTTTCTCGCCTGGTTTCATTTCAATTGTTGTCAGCTGCGCCATTAACCTGCTTTGGTTTACACTGTTCGTTGCTTGATACAGGTTCTTCAGGTGGTTGTACGCGAGCTCCGCGGAGTTGCCGTAGCCTCGGTAAGTCCTGATGTTCTGCTGCTGGGTCGGGGTAATGTTTCTCAACAGTATCGTGTACGCCATCATTGATTGATAGGTGTACTGCTGCTTCTCATATTGCGTCCCGTTTGTTGGATATGGCAGGGACCCGTCGAAGAAGCCAAGAATTTGTGCTCCTTCCATCATCAGATCGAACTCGAATGACCAGGTGAAGAAGTTTTTTCCGTCGAAAGGCTTTGTCGTTTGCAACTTTAGGACATGCGCGAATTGCGATTGAACTTGTAATGCGTCCAGTCCTCTTTCTTGTCCAGGTGCAGATTGGGGTTGCGGCATGAAGCTGGCGGAGCCGCGCTGGGGCTCGTACGGAGCGAAGGTAGGCTGCTGTTGTTGTTGAATCCCGCGTGCGTAGGATGAGCCGTCGAGACTCATAGGAGTCACGTTGTTGTTGTTGTTGCTGTTGTTTGACTGCGCAGGTACTCCTTGCTGGTGCTGCTCGTAGAAGGACATGAAGGAGAAAAATTTCTCCATCATGCTTGGATCGAAGCCCGCGGGCGTTTCCGTAGACCCAGCTGCTGGTCTCGTGGTTGTCCCTTCCTCTGTCTGTAGACCAGAGACAGGAGGTGGAGTAGGAGTTGTGCCTGGAGAACCGTTGGAGGAGCTCCTCTCCTTCCTAGCAGACATGTCTTCTTTCTTTGTACTGAGTGTTGAGAGGAAAGATAACTTTTAAACTCTAACTGCTCTGATACCATGTTGGGCTGAGGTGCCCTAGGATCTTTGTAGAGTTAAAGTCTTAGTAAGATGATGTAATAGCGGAAGCGTTGAGTAAGGAGTGCTTGAACCACCTTGCGCTAGTATGTGAGGGCAAAGTAAGTTAATTAAAACAAGCAAATACAAAGGTTTATATAAGAGTACAAGGAATACGAATGGATATAATTAAACTGTTTTGCTGTTGCGATTCGATACAGTGCGACTCGGGCAACTGCTCAATGTCTAGTCAGTTGTGTGTCCTTGCTGTCGCGCTGTATTTGTCAAGTCAAAGGTCGCTGACCTTTGACCTTCTCGTAACCTCCGGCAGTTACCCTAACCTCCGAGGGTTGACTCGTTACGCTTTGATTTTGAGCTGCTTCGCTTGTGTCCTGAGTTTCGACACGACAGAGGCGTTTAAGACTTATTGTTCCCAACATCAATCAAAGTAATGGCTACAGTTATCAACTTCTCATACACAACACATTATACACGCAGACAACTCTAAAAATGACTTTTCAAGCAAGACAACCATAGGAGTGGCACAAATGCTTGCAAGAAAGGAGGTTCTACACCAGGTTTCCTCTGGAACATTCTCACTGGATCTCCATTGAGATGAGGGGAGAAGGGTCTTTATTCAATGAATTGGAAAAGGGTTTGCAATGAGTGGAAGGGGAGAATAAGCATGTGCAGATGGCAGCACAGCCAAGCAATCCAGCTGTCCTAGTTATCCTACCGATGAGTGCACCAGATTGAGCGGAATGGAAACGTATATGGCATGTCCCTGGTTGTTGGTAACAATGGGAGGACAAAGAAAGGGTAAGATAAGATGACAGAAAATGTTTGTATTTGGTGATTGGTTCAAAAAGGGAAGTGGAGAAGTTGTGCGAGTGCGAGGAGAGGGCGGAAAAAGGTCAATCACTTACAGTGCATAACTTGCATGAAACAACGGAACGGGTCCAGGAATATAAAGTTCGCCAATACTAGCGCCTTCACAATTGTCGTTATAGACTTTGCAGCTGGAGAAACTTGGAGCATCATCGGTGTTCACAACACCATACACTGTTGCGCCTACCCTAGCCAGTGCTTCCGGCATCCGGGTGCAGCTATTCAGGTTAAAGCGGAATGTGAGGGGTCGAGAAGAGTTGTCATTGGCTGTTCGATTTGCGATGACTGTGTAGCTGTAAGGACCGACGTTGGAAGCTCCGCCTGAGAAAGAGTGGGACAGGAAAGGACTCAGCGCGTTGCTCATTTGCGCGCATATACCATCAACAATCATGCATGCATTACCATCAACTTTAAGCAGCAGCATCTGTTCACACAACATGGCAGAGCGAGAAAAGTGGGAGAAAGAGTGGGACGTGTCGGGGAGAGGAGAGGGTGGGGCGAGAGGAGAGAGGAGGGAGTGGGGCGAGGGGGGAGAGGAGGGAGTGGGGCGAGAGGGGAGTGCGGCGAGTATTGTTAAGAGAGGAGAGTGGGGAGAATGCGAAGAGGAGAGGGTGGAGAGTAGAGCGAGTAAACGTCAAACAATCTCACCCTTAACACACTTGGTCGCGGTTATCCCATAGCCTTGAGGGCACGCGCAGTAAGGCACCTGCACCCCACTGTTGTCACTCGCAGGCACGGTCTTGCAGGTTGCTCCAGTGGAGCAGGCGCCACAGGGCGAGTCTGCAGGGTGGGGCGGGGTCGGGATGGGTGCAGTGCGGTACTTGAGCGCATGCGCAGTAAGGCACCTGCACTGAAGGCTCTGAAGTCGCAGGCACGGTTTTGCAGGTGGCTCCAGAGGGGCAGGCACCACAGGGTGAGTCTGAGCGGTGGGGATGGGTGCAATGCGGTTTGGGGCACCAGAGGGGCAGGCGGCACAGGGTGAGGGTGAGGAAGGCAAAATGCGAGGGAGAGGGAGGAGCAAGTGCGAGTGCGGTGGGTCTGGAGAATGATGGTGGAGGAGTGAGGCTCCAAAGAAACGAGCTGTTTGGGAACCCGAAAATGAGAATTCAGGGCTTAAGGTCTTACGAAAATGAGAATTCAAGACTAAAGGTGTGCAGGAATGCTGGTGGAGGAGTGAGGCTCCAAAAAAACGAGAGGGAAAGGAGGAAGGCTGGCACGAAGACAAAAATCATGCACTCTCACTCTCATGGGTTGGGAGCATGAGGCTGAAAAAGTTGGCACTAAGCGGTGGCCTCGAAATATGTAGAAAAGCATGAAGAATGGGGCTGGTTGGATGGCACGGGGTTGATATATGAATGGCTGAGCTGAGTTGCGAGAGTGGAAAAGTGGGAAAACCGTGCTCACTCACCCCAGTTGCAGTGACGAGTCTATTTCTGAGTCGACTCAGAGAGAGAAGGCTGCGAGAAAGCATGAATCAGAGGAGAGAGGACCTCACTCACCCCATGCATTTGCCACCAGGTTGACAGCCCAGCGCGTCACAGGCAGCATCAACCCACAAGACAGACGCCAAGGAGGGAAGGCAATCTTGAGGCGCCTGAACACTCACCCCACTGGCAGAAGCGCTCGCCATTCTCATCAACCACGCATTTGCCACCGGGTTGACAGCCCAGCGCGTCACAGGCAGCATCAACCCACAAGACAGACGCCAAGGAGGGAAGGCAATCTTGAGGCGCCTGAACACTCACCCCACTGGCAGAAGCGCTCGCCATTCTCATCAACCACGCATTTGCCACCGGGTTGACAGCCCAGCGCGTCACAGGCAGCATCGGTGCAGAGAACAGAGGCCACTGATGCCCACTTGCTGAGCGTCTTCTTGTTGCTTGGGAACCTGAAAGGGGGTGGCGTGGCAAGAGGAAGCACAAGAGATGATGTCTTGCCTACTGTGCTTATTCTGTTCCCTCGCTTCCCCGCCCTCCCCCTCCCCTCCCATCCCTGCCCCTCCCTTCCCTTCCCCTCCCCTCCCCTCCCCTCCCTGCCTCTCCCTTCCCCTCCCAAACTTATCCACTGCTCGTGTTATCTCGCCGTGCCTCACACACGGCCATACAACCAAACAAAGACCCCCACCACACCACTCACTTGGCAGTAGCAGAGCCCGGGTTGACCATGCTATCCACCTCCCTGCCGTGGCAGCCACCCGTCCCAAAGAACTTGATCTGCGAGCAAGCAAAGCCTTTCGCCTTGCTGCTCGACCCGTTCCACCACACCTGTGCGCTCTTCCCTCTCGCCTTTTTCGGCACGGCCACGCAGCGCTGGCTGCCGAAGCTAAGCCGAGCCTTGCCCACAGCCACGGTTGTGGTAAACTGTGGCTTGGAACCGCCACCGCAGGTACTGGGAGTGCTGCTATCAATAGTGGTACTGCGAGTGCTGCTGTCCACAGTGGTACTGGGAGTGCTGCTATCAATAGTGGTACTGCGAGTGCTGCTGTCCACAGTGGTACTGGGAGTGGGGCTATCAATAGTGGTACTGCGAGTGCTGCTGTCCACAGTGGTACTGGGAGTGGGGCTAGGGGTGCCGTCAACGATGCTGCCGCCGGCGGTGCTGCTGCTGGTGGTGCTCCCGGTGCTGTCCGTGCTGCCGGTGCTGTCGGTGGTCTCTAGCGCAATCCTTGCATTGACCTTACTGCTCGCTATAAAAGGTTTTGAGAGGAGGAAGGGATTGCAGATGGGTGACATTGCAGACATAAGAGAGAAGGCAATGAGAGAGAAGTCAATGAGAGAGAAGGCAATGAGAGAGAAGACAATGAGAGAGAAGACAATGAGAGAGAAGCCAATGAGAGAGCAGGCAATGAGAGAGAAGACAATGAGAGAGAAGGCAATGAGAGAGAAGGCAATGAGAGAGAAGCGGGCTGACCGGCGATGAGAGAAGGCAACGATGAGAGAGCAGCAGTCTGATGAGCAGAAATGAGAGAAGGCGGACTGACCACAGATGAGGGCAAGGGCGAGCAGCAGGAGTCCGGCGGGAGAGGCGCGCATCGACCTCATGTTGATGGGGGTACCGCGAAAGAGGCGGCGGAAGAGGCGGCAGAAAAGCCGGCGGAAGAGGAGCCAAATAAGTTGCCCTTGCAAATGTGAGTAAGTTGGCCCTCCGGCGTATCACACGCTCTTTATTGGAGCCGGGAGATGAAGGACAGTGGAAGGATGGTCGAGTAGTCGTACAAGCACAGACGCGGGAGAATGAAGGACAGCTTGTCCGCTGAGTGGAAGGATGGTCGATACTACCAGCGCAGACGCGGAAGGAGTCGTGAGGCGTTTCAAAACGCAAGGATGGTCGAGTACTACCGTGGAAGCACAGACGCGGAAGGAGAATCGTGGAATGACAGGGATGGAAGAACGGAACGCTTGCTTTGGGATCTTACGGAGCTGCACTCGTGATTTCTGATGCGAGTTATGAGCGCGAGTCGAGCATGACAGCCGCCGCGCCATCGCACTACGATGAGTCATCGTCGGCGTCGCGTCGGTACTATCGTAGTGAATTATAGGAACGGGATGTGGACTTTTGAGACTTAATCAAAACACAGCCGCAGCGCCATCGCACTACGATGAGTCATCTTCGGCGTCGGTACTATCGTAATGAATAATATGAACGGGATATGGTGAGCTGCTACGACGATAGTCCTAACCTTGAGACTTCTCAAAACTCGTCGCGGTACAAGGATGAGTCATCGTCGGCGTCGCGTCGGTACTATTGTATTGAACTTAGGAACGGGACTTTTGAGACTTCTCAATAATATTGCAGCGTCATCGTACTACGATGAGTCGTCGTCGGTGTAGATACACTATCGTAGAGAATTATAGGAACGGATGTGGACTTTTGAGACTTGTCAAAACTTGCAGCCCCATCGTACTACGATGAGTCCTCGTCGGTGTCAATAATACTATCGTAGTGAAGTATTGGAACGGGATTTGGTGAGCTGCTACGACGATAGCTCTGGCGGTTACTGTACTGTACGACTATTTTGGAACGCGGTGTGTGCGACGGCTTGCTTGGCGGAAGGCAGTTCATCTGTAAGGCATAAGGTGCTTGGATCTACAAGAACAGGAATCGGGGGGATGTGGTGAGGTGAGTGAGCAGCGATTACGATGACTCTGGGGATAACTTCGAGGGAGGCCATCCCATTCGTCAGATATGCAGTGCTTGACTCAAGTGAATAGCAGGGACGAAGTAAATCGTCTGAAATGCGAGTGCATAATGTGAACGACCAGAATGCGAGTTTGTCGCAGAAAGAAGCGAAGACAGCTGTCCGTCTTATCTGCCAGATAGCCGGCTATTTTAGGGACGCGTTCCAATAGGACTTCGTGAATCTAGCCAGCCAGGCCAGACTTTCGTTGCGATCGACCCAAAGTGTTGCTACTAGGCGGTGTTTCCAGAACCGTTGTGTAACCAGGAAAACGCGGAAACTAACCGCGAGTCTCGCGGATCTCGCAGAGAGCCTGGCTGGCGCGTTACACTGACCAAGAGTGGTGATTGGAACATACGTGGCCAATCGCATTGGCACCACATCATTCCATCCTATCCGCTGAATTTCCAAATCCTTCCCGGTAACTCGCTTCGCGCACTCTTCGCAAGTCCTAAACCTTTGTCAATATCTTCGCTAGTTTCGACAACCAGCATTCCATGATCCGCCACGCCATGCCCTTGGTTTCTCCACAATTCAGTCAGGCAAGTTGTCCCTCGCAAGCAGATTCAGTCACCAAGAAATCCCCAGCCGCCAAGCAACTAGCAACCGAGAAGTCACACCTTCTCGAAAAAGAATCTAATTGCCTTCATTACCTCTGCTTTCCTTGTTCCACCATTTCCTGTCTTTTCATCTCGCATTCGTCGTTCATTTGGACGAACTTTTCGGTCGACCCTCGTTTTTTATTGAGGCGGGACCGATTTTCCAGTTTACCAGTAGGAAGGAGCGATCTTGCTTGCTGTTGCTCTTGCTGAGCCGGTAGAGAGGTATCAATCTTGCCTAGGAGTTTTGGGATTCACGGAGCTGAGTTTTTGCAGAGATTTCTGCTCTAACGGGAGCTTTTCAACGTCGTAGGCTCCGCTATACCCTTCGCTGTATATCAAATTGCAAGCTTTCGAGAATTTCTTAAAAGTGAATCAAGTTTTTAGCTTCGCAATTGTCGAGCCTGCTCTGAGTCGGTGGTTTTCCGCAACCTGATCGGCAATGGACGGCGGTCACGGCGAGGGGAACGCGGGTGGAGAGGGATTTGGGCGCGGAGCACGGGGAAGGGGTGGTCGGGGGGGATTTCGCGGATCTGGGGGAAGGGGAGGTGGATTCGGCGGAAGGAGCGGGGGGGTTGGCGGAAGGCGAGGGGGATTCGGACATGGACATGGGGGAGTAGAGGCGGGTGCAGGCAGGGGAGATGGCGGGGGAGGAAACCGGGGGAGGGGCCGAGGGAGGGGGAGAGGCGGAAAGGAAGGGAACAACGTGCAGTTAGGAACCCAAACTACATCTGCTAATAACGACACGCAGCCGCTTGCATCGATGGCTACTAATATGAGCGCGGGGGTTCCCGAATCCGCCGTTATAGTCAACCCCGATACTGTGACGACACGTGTAGCAGCTTCTTCTATTATCGCAACGGCGAAGCGAGTTGTAGTGGTCACTTCGGGAGGTGCAGGATCGGGAGGTGCAGGATCGGGAGGTGCAGGATCGGGAGGTGCAGGATTGGGAGGTGCAGGATCGGGAGGTGCAGGATCGGGAGGTGCAGGATTGGGAGGTGCAGGATCGGGAGGTGCAGGATCGCAATCTGCGGAGGAGGATAAGGCGGCGCGGAAGAGGAAGAAGAAAGAGAGGCAGAAAGAGAAGAAGGAGATGATGAAGATGATGCAAGAGAAGCAGGCGGGGGATGCAGCCGGAGTGGGGAAGGAAGCAATTGAGCAGCAGCAGCGAGCCGCAGAAGCTGAAAAGCCAGCTGTATTGGCTGAATCGACGGACACTGCAGAGGAGGACAAGGCGGCGACTTTGAAGACGCCTCAAAATGCTGAATTTGCGGAAGCTGTAGAGGAGGATAAGGCTGCGCGGAAGAGGAAGAAGAGAGAGAGGCAGAAAGAGAAGAAGGAGATGATGAAGCAGATGCAGGAGAAGCAGGCAGAGGAAGCAGCCGGAGTGGGGAAGGAAGCAATTGAGCAGCAGCAGCGAGCCGCAGAAGCTGAAAGGCCAGCTGTAGTGGCTGAATCTTCGGACGCTGCAGAGGGGGTTAAAGCGGCGGTTTTTACGGTGCCTCAAAAGTCTGAATTCACGGAAGCTGCAGAGGAGGATAACGCGGCGCGGAAGAAGAAAAAGAAAGAGAAGAAGGAGATGATGAAGAGAATGCAGGAGAAGCAGGCGGAGGAAGCAGCAGCAGTAGCGAAAGACGCAATCGAAACTAAGGCGCCTCAAAAGGCTGAAACTTCGGAAGCTGCAGAGGAGAAGGCGGCACGGAGGAAGGAGAAGAAGAGAGAGAAGAAAGAGAAGAAGATGCAGGAGAAGCAAGCAAAGGAAGAAGCCGGAGTAGGAAAGGAAGCTTCTGATGAAACTACACCGTCCAAACCAGAGTCGATTCCGTCAGTATCAGAACTGGTTCAGTCAAATCCAGAGCTGATTCCGTCAAAGCAAGCTCCTGGAGCTGGGATTCCGTCAAAGCAGGCTCCCGGACCTGGGATTCCGTCAAAGCAGGCTCCTGGAGCTGTGATTTCGTCAAAGCAGGCTCCTGGACCTGGAAACCTGACAGATCCAGTGGCGCACGCAGGGGAGGGGCAAAACGAGGCGGAGAGGAAGGAAATGGAGAAGCAGGAGAAAAAAAAGCAGAAGAGAGAGAGGCAGAAGGAGAAGAAGCAGCAGCAGCAGCAGCAGCAGCAGCAGCAGCAGCAGCAGCGAGAGAGTGGAAGTGGGACCGACAAGCAGCAAAGAGTTGGCAGTGCTGGTCCCTCAATCAACAATGGCAGGGATGGCACTGGTTTAGGGTTTAAGACTCCTCCACCAACTGGTTGGGGGGATGCAGCATCCATGAATGCAGAGGGAGGCTCGGAGGCTTTTGATTCGGTTCCAAAGTCATCTGTCTCGGTGGAGTGGGGTGATTCAACCCAAAAGTCATCTGTTTCGGTTGAGTGGGGTTCTTTGTCGCCCACTCGTTGGGATGCGAGGACCTGTGGTTCAGATCGGACAGCTCAGGCGTTTATTGGGGCGGGCAATAGCGAGGACAGGGGGAAGGAGAAGGGTTTCAGGGGGTGCTTCGCCCCGCACTTGCCGCTTGAAGTTGCCAAGCAGAGGATCCAGGTACGTCTGTCGTGTGTGAACCTTTACCTGAGACTGGTAATTTGGTCTGCATTATTTAACCTTCACGTGTTCTTGTGCCCGCATCCGTCGATGCTCGTTCCATTTTCCTGCTTTTCCAATACTGCCCTTCTTTTGTTTTCTTTTGCTGCAACCTTATCATGTTAATTCTCGTTCGCTTCTGTTCTTTTTCCACTTCTGCAGGACGGCACCCTTTTTGCTGCATCATTCAGGGTCAACGCACGGAATCGATTTGAGGTGAGTCCTCCTTGTCTGCGATGGTATCGCTACCCATCTTGTCTGTCAACAATTGTGAAAGCAACATTTGCGGTTGAAAGTCAGCCCAAAAGTTTGCTCCATCGCTCGCAGTGCGCTCTGTGTGCTGCTCTGGGTAGTGTAAGATAAAAACATTTATTCAGTTGACTCGGGAGTCTTTTGTTGTTTCTTCGGTGCCTTCTGTGATGCATCTTTGCTCATGCTTTGATAAGGTACCGTGGTGTTCCTCGAGGCATATGTGACTGTGAAGGGAGTTCTGCACACTAATCATGCGTTGCTGTTTCTTGCTTTCCCTTCAGGCGTATGTGACTATAGAGGGAGTTCCTCGGGATGTCCTGATTTATGGTCTCAAGGCACAGAATCGAGCGGTAAGTTTCTTTCGAAAGTTTTGATTTTCTTTCATCCAATTCCGGCGCTTCCCCTTTCTGTGCGCGATCCATTCAATGGAATCGACCT